GGCCTTAGATCTGGACGACTTCAACAACAGATGCGGCTGCGAGCCTAATCCGCTATTGAGAACAATGAATCGAGTTTTAAGGAATTATCCGAAGGGCCCGCTGTGTCCCATTACAGAAGGTAGATGTTAATATTATTTTCAAAATAGAAAAATATCTCAACGATATATACAATATGTAAAAAAATATAAAGTTTGGAGTCTATTATATAAAAAAAGTATAAATATTGATTATATTAAAATAGTATTTTTTACGTCTTATTTTTTAATAACATTTAATACTATTTCTTATGATTATTAGGTACAGGAGCGGTTACAACGTGGACCGTCAAGCCCACACAAGCGATACAGACGACTACAACAGTGGATCGCGACAGTTCCGGCGAGTTTAAAGTCATCTGCTATTTCACTAACTGGGCCTGGTATCGGCAAGAGGGTGGCAGATTTGTATTTGATATAGACTCCGATCTCTGTACCCATGTGCTTTACGGATTCTCCGTGCTAGACGGTAGTAGCTTAACGATGAAATCCGACGATCCCAGGTTCGATATAGACAACAAGTTTTACGAAAGGGTGGCGGCGTTCAAGGCAAAGGGTCTGAAAGTGCTGATGGCACTGGGAGGCTGGAACGATTCGGCCGGCGACAAATACAGTAGACTGGTAAACTCGCCGTCGGCTAGGCGAAGATTTATCACGCAAGTTCTTGACTTCATCAAGAAGTATGGTTTCGAGGGTCTCGATCTCGATTGGAAATATCCGGTATGCTGGCAAGCGGACTGCAACAAGGGCCCGGAGTCTGACAAGCAAAGCTTCGCTGAGCTGGTTAAGGAACTGAGTAACAAGTTTAAGCCTCGAAAATTACTTCTCTCTGCGGCAGTATCGCCAAGCAAGAGAGTGATCGACGTGGGATACGACGTTCCTATCCTGTCCAAATACCTGGACTGGATATCCGTGATGACGTACGACTTCCATGGTCAATGGGACAAAAAGACTGGCCACGTAGCACCGCTGTATTCTTTACCGAATGACTGGAAACCGACATTTAATGCCGTAAGCTTTACTTCGAGAATTATTTAGCATGGGAATTATACTAATAATATCAAAAATTTTAAAAATACTTAGTTCTTTGTTACTAGAACTTTTCGATCCATTATTGGATAGAGAAAGGTGCAAATCCGAAAAAGTTGATCATGGGCACCCCATTGTACGGCCGATCATTTTCACTTGCGGCGAGTAGCGTACACGGATTAAACGCGCCAACCTATGGCGGCGGCGAAGCTGGAGAGGCGACCAATGCAACAGGCTTCTTGTCATATTACGAGGTAAATTCATGTCCAAAAAAGAAATATTAAAAAATAAAAATCTAAATAAATATTAAAAAATTATCAAATAAGTTTCTAATAAAATTCATATAAGAAAATATTAATTCTGCATTAATTAATAGCTGCAAATAAAAAGTTATTAATTTTTAATATCCCAAAGATGTACATTTATTCCAGGAGTAAATAAATATCTATTCTTTTGCTTTTATGACAGATATGTGAAAGAACGTTGAAGAAGGGATGGA